GCGTAGGGGCATCAAAGAAAATTAAATATTTCAAGAAAAGAATGATAATGTGTGTACTATTCGTTTATTTCTTTAATTGTGTTTCCCTCAATTCTCTTGGTATGTTTTATCCAAACTCTGGAAGCTGCAAGAAAAATAAATTCATTGTATAAAAAGATCGGATTAAATATTGTAATGATTATTGTTTTAACTAAATTATGAAATATATTTCAGATGGTAACAACATTCAATTCAATTAAAATCAAAGATACATTTTATTGACCATAATTATAGTATATGAAAACGCAACAAATAGAATAGCATGAAGCACATACTAAATTCCATTGTTTCATAAGATCATGTTTCAATCATGATTATATCACCGTAAATGGAAGAAAAAGAGTATGTTAGTAGAAAGATAAAATGTTGTTAGTAGAAAGCAAAGATCTTATAAACACAAATAGAAGCGTCGATTTGGCACAGAAAAGTAATCAGTTTTGGGAGAGGGTGTCCTAGTCGTTGCATGGATCTGAGATAGGGTGTTCGCGTTACGCCATAAGTTCGTTACCAAGTACGTTAATTGGTTCCTTATGTTCTAAAGAGAGGGCGCATTGTAAATCGGACGTTTCTAATTGTTACGCGTAATTGTAAAGCGAGCGACGTACGATATGGTCAGAGCGGTCAAGGTTCAAAAGTTTTCAATTTAGCAAGAGGCCGCTTTTCATGCATTATTACAGAATTTGCACGCGTAAATCGCGGAGAATTCTATCTTGTGTTTATAAGGTCTTTGGTAGAAAATATAGCAAAACGGAAATAAAAAATTACTTAGGCCTATGATAAACCACTTGACAAACTAATTATAATAATATACTGTATAGGGTCTAGGCATATTAAATTTTGCAACTCCTTCGACGCTCCATATATTTGTTCGAAATAAACCGCGAACGAAACGAAGCGCGACCGAAACGAATCGCGACCGAAATGATCGGCTACCGCTTCACCCCATGGCCTAATACGCCGTATCCTCCAATAAACTGTCATAAATAGTCAATTGCAATAACATCAGAATTTATACTTCCGGTGTACAATACAATAATTTTATTGTCCGAGTATTAATGACAGTTGAATCGATGTTTATTAAACATAGAGGGCGTACTTTGTTTACCTTATAATATTGGTTTTCATTTTTGGTAATTATGAGATTTCTGTCTTTGTAAGTAAAGCCGGGCACTCACTTTGCCCAAATATAAACATTTCAAAATAGGGCCTAAATAAATAAATTTAAAATTGAAGACACTCGCGCAACGGATCGTTTTTAAGAGGATCCGTTTAAACTGTCACCGTCAATAAGCAGACGGCACGATCGCGTCTTTTAGCTAGCGGAGTGAGCGGAGTTCGATTGAGAACAACAGTCGTATGACAGTCGTAGACACTATAAAAACAGTTACCTACCTTTAAAAAAATATATCTAAACCAATTAAAAGGTGATTGTTAAAGATAAACTTGCATTATTATTTCCAACTTATTAAATAAAACCATATCCATAGATTAGTAATTAGATTAAGATGTGAAATGTCATCACCATTGTACGATACCAGACATATTTGACTGATATAGTATTCCATTTTCTGTTAACATTCATAGGGCCTATATAATATCATTTGATTTGATTCAAGCGTTTGTTATGTAAATTGTTGTATTTGAATGGATGCTAAATAAATAAATGAAATTAAAATGCTTTGTTCCAGGTGTCCTTGCTCAATCTTCCATGACAGTAGATCCTGCTACTGCTAAGTTAGGTGAAGATGCAATGATGGTGTATACTTTCACACCAGCAACAGGAGAATCCCTTGATTATGTGTCTTGGTTCAAAAGTGATGCAGCTGGTCGTGAAGGGAACGTTATTATAACTAATAGGCCTAGGTCCGGAACCACAGAACTCAATGGTAGATACAGCTTAAGTGATAATGGAAGCCTAATTATACGTAACGTTGTAGTAGAGAATGCAGGTTACTACTTGTGCCGAGCAACTACTTCACCTTATGGTGAGACTGCAGACGGTTTCTCAAATTTAACAGTCTACTGTGAGTACTGCTAACTGACTTCACATTTCCATGTTATTTTGTTTTCTAATACAAAGATTGTTACGTACATGCATGCATTCATTCACACATACATGCATGCATACATGCAGACGTCGGCCCTACCACCGCAACCGCCACCACCACTTAAATGCAATCGTCCCAAAACTAGAGTTTGCTGGAAGACAGATTTATGGGCGGTTTAGTAGCATGATGAGTGGTAATGTGCCTCGAATAGCTGTATGTGCCGAATAATATGCAGGCTTGCAGATTTTAATTTTATAAATAAATAAAAGTGTTATCCATTACGTTGTTTGTAGGCAGGATTTTCAATGGGGGAAGGGGTGCGCTTGCAAGCTCGTTTTTAGCTGAACCCTTTAGAGTCCCTGTCAAGGTCCAGAGGCCGAGAAGCTCCGACAAAGTAGCATTTTGAGGCCGTAATTAGTTTGTAAAACCCATAATTCTTGAAAATTCTATTTAAATTTCCATTCGCTTGGGTGTTGTTAGGGACCTGAAAAAGTAAAGTTTTATGTCCATTCCAATGTATGCCTATATTATATTATAGGTTTTTGTTCCTATGGATCAATCTGCAGTCACCGGAGCAGATAAAATTCTAACAAATTTTGTATAGTTATTAGTAATAAATGGTTTAAAAGAGCCGGCAAATTCATTCATTCATTATTCTTTATTTCAGACTTTACATCCATAGTAAAACATCGTACACTTAACCAATAATAATATAAATACAAGGGGAAAATGAACCCCACATGATCCTTAGAAATCATGGATTAACATAAAGAAGTTCGTTCCATCTTTTTGAGAGCCTAGAACTTTCAAAAAATCTATTTACAGAACGAACTAAAGGGTTCACACAAGTAGAAAATCGCTTTAAAAAGCTAAAGATTGATTTTCTCATAAATTCTTGGAAAGAATGAAATTTTCCGATTTCAAAACGATTTTAGTGCAATGATAAGGTTTAAAGAAAGGGGACCTTTTGAAATTAGGGAGATGCGTCCGTACCTTCTGCATTACCCTGCCTACGGGCCTAGTTTGTCTCATAATAAACAAGTCTATGATAAAGTTTTTTTAAGCTGTATATCTTGTTTACCAATCTTGGACGTTTTTCGATTGGTTGGTAACGTATTCTACATGTGAGAGGGTCACCCCACTTCAAAATGGAACAGTGTTGCGTTTTGGTCTTCACTTTATTGAAAAAAAAATGGAATGATTATTACTTTTAATAACTTATATAAATATTTTTTATAATTCTATTTTCTAATAGGCAAGGCCTATATGAATGATATAATATCTGTCTCTTATACACATCTAGATGTGTATAAGAGACAGATTACAGACCTTGAGACACCAATGTTGTCACCAACAGAGATATATGTTAATGGAAAGAAAAGTACAACATTCACATGCCCTTTTCCTGATGGTGTTCCAACACCTATCACCATCACATGGATCAAAGATGACAGCGTACTTGATGTGTCTGATACTGAGAAGTATCCACAGTCAGATACAACATTAGAGATCAGCAGAGTCAATAAAATGGATGAAGGGGACTACCAATGTCGAGCAGAGAATGCAGCTTACAATAAGGATGAAGGAAAACTAAGTAATATAGGAACACTGTCATTGTTTGCTTGTAAGTACAATTATAGGAATAATTATATAATATAAATCGATGACAGAAAGCTGTACTTTGTAAAATTTACATTATTTTTGCCAGCTATTAATGTTTCTGTTAAATATGAAATTATGTTTTTTTTTGTTTTTTTTTTAATTTTGAAAACATAATCTTGTTTTGCTCATTAGCTCCATCAACGACATCCATAGGCAGTTCGTTCTCTGTAGGTACGTCTTCTCTTCATTATTATATTTTTATATATACGATTATTTGCAAATGAATACAAAACACGAAGACATCAATTTATTTATTTTTTATTAATCTGTTTTTATACTGAAATAACACTATCAGTATTAAAACAGAAGAAAATGAGCGGTGTCCTCATTTATATTATTTTAAATATGAATGAGGACACCATCACCAATTGTGAAGTTTGCCTATCAGGCCTACATTTATGTATATTACTATATTTGGTTTTATTTTCTAATGAAAGAATTTTATTTTAATAGTACCATCATTAACATCCATAGCAAGTATTTCAGCCACTGGTACGTGTTTTTTTTTTGTTCATGCAATTGTTGAAGATATTCGAATAGTTAGTCGGTCGTCGCTTAGTTGTTTGGTATTTAAATCATTTGCTCTGTTGGTCTGTTTGTGGATCGACTAATCGAACAATTAAAATATAAGTAACACTTCAGAAGCATGCGTTCCCTATTTTTGAAAACCTATAACATTAGTTGTGTATGATAATTTCAGTAATACAATATATCTTTAGTTGTTTGCAAATTTAGAAAATGATTGACTAACACATTTCAGATGTTTGTAAACACTGTTTATTATCACTAGGCCTATTATTTTACCAAAGTACCACAGGAATGTTCAGGTTCAAATACTGGTCTTCTTGTTGGATTGACGTTTCTAAGTTTCTTTTTGGGAGTCCTTTTATCTTCATCTATATCTGTCGTCCTCGGAAAGATCAGAAATCCAAAGGCACAGGTGAGATACATACGGGATAGAATAGCGCCCGTCTGACGGGCTAAGTTCATTAAATTTCTGTCATTGGACATCATTAAGCATATGAATGTTTCGTTTATGATAATGTTGTTTACTTGCTATACAATAAATTACGATGAAGACGACTGGTATTGACGTCTATCGTGTTGAAGACTAGTATTAGAATGATAAACTGTAGGCTACAAAAAGAGGAAAAAACTTGATTAAATGTTTTGTTTTTATTTTATCCACTTAACTGTTTTAATTTCATATAATTTACTTTAAAGGTAACCAAAGGAACATCCAGACATTACGAAGAACCGGCGGTAAGAAGGATAAAGGAATACTCGCATATAGGCCTCTGAATCCTCAAAAGAATTTAAAATGTTAATTAAAACATTTAATTTCTCACAGATCTATATTCAAATGATTTATCTACTAGACATCATTCAGAAAAAAAATAAACTGATACATTCACATTGGAGACATGGATCCGTGGGGCACTTAATTGTTATACAGTTGGGGGTAATTGGGAACGAACGGAACAGAATGACCTAATTAGTGTTTTGCATGCTACATTAGACCTGCGTAAAATATGCGCGTGCTCTTTGTGAATAATTCCATATACTTAAGTTGGGTCGAATTCTTACCGTACAATGTAGTAAATTACAGGTTTACTTTTACGAAAAACCATCCACAGTTAATAAAAGAACTCCTCAGATCGATGGGGTTTTTTGGCATTTTTAACAGACTAAATAAATACATAAATGATATTATGTTATTACTTATCTTAAAGGAACTCCTAGCAACGCCCAGAGATAAACAAGCATTGGTAAGGAAAATGCTGCACCAGTCAAGCAAACATTGATTTACAACATAGCATTATCATAATAATTAAGCTGTAAACTCCCTTTATTAAAGAAAATAATGACCAATGGCAAAAATACAAGTATATCTCAAAGCTAAATCCGTGCTAAACTTTAAAACGATCTTTAATATGTCCAATTCTACAAAAACAAACCAACAATGCTTGCCATTCTTAATTTTACAGGCTTATATGGCATATAAACGTGATTCGAGTGCAGAGGAAAAGACATATGAAGATCTAGAGTGGAATGATGACAACCCAGTTGCTTATATAAACGTCAAAGCAAACAAAGAGAATACTTAAAATTACTAATTTAAATGTAGCACCAAATTAAGTAGACTAGACTGGTTAGTAAACGTAAAAATACAAAGATTATGATGGTCGTCGATAAACTATTGGACTCTATGACGGAAATGTATTTTACAGAAGGAAACGATACACATAATAACGTAGTTATGTAGACCTAGATTTTAGCTCAGGTAGATGGCGACCGAAACCATTATGCTTGCCTAAGAAACATTTTTTTACTCATATGAACTTGACCGAGTAGTGCTTGTAGCACAGATAATTGTCAATACTTAAAGACAGAAATATGATGTATAAAAAACGATGTTTAAACCGAATCCGAAGATGACAGCAATTGAACACTCTAATATAATCACTGATTTACATTTGAAATGCATATGAAATTGTATAATCCTGTTGTTGTTGTTTAACGGATTTTGGATATTAGTTTTCCTTTTTGCTGATTTTGTGATTTTTATGCTTAATGTTGCTGAGAAACTTCATCATGTTTTCTAGAAGTGAAATTTCTCTTTTAAAATGGTGTACATTTATGAGCCTTTGCATGTTATGTTGTCAAAGATTATGTTCGAGATGTTCGTGAAAGAGGCACTAAAACCCACAGCTGTGAGTTTCATTTCAACATTTCATAGTTGCATATTGCTAGGTACCCTGTATATTAACATTTCTTTTAAAAGACATACACCTATTTTTTTTTTATTTATTTGTTACTGAAAACTACCATGCTAGATAGTCGAAATCGACTCAATACAACTTCATATTCCTCAAATGTGCTGGGCTTCAAGGGACCACAACCATGTGGGACCCCAACCAGGGGCTCTGCCCCTGTACCCCTCGGCCCTAGACGGCCCCTTGGCCCCCGGCCTAAGGCTGCTCGCTTCGCTCGCAGATTGCACTCCCTCTTTTCTGGCAGGCTGGATCCGCCCCTGGCTCAAAAATAGTTTTCATTCAGTTTTTGATTTAATAACCAAAATAGCAATACAGTACTTAATAGAGCAAGAGGTAATTAGAGCAAAACATAAGTAACAGATCACTTATTATCAGTAATTATAATTACCATCATTGATAAGATATTTTTATTTTATTTTATTTATTTGGCATCCCACAGAAAACTAACAGCATTTTAAAAACATCATTATGTCAATAAGTCAAGAGAATTTTACTTCAAAAGTAATGGATCAAAGAATTATCATACATAGGGGACCTATATCTTTGTTTTAATCATAAGAGCAAACAAACAAATATACTCCTACATGCAAATACCTGTTAGAACAATGATTTATGTCACTAGCTCCTTCCCGTTTGCGATACCTTACTAGAAGAAATTGCCACAAAACGATACCACAGATTTTAAAAGCTTCAAAATTCATTTCTGGTAGGTCTTCAAACTGTCAAACGGGAAGGGGGGGGGGGGAGTGTGGGGTCAGGTCAATAAATCTCTGATGTGATGAAGGTGTCTGTGTTTTTTTTTTCGGAGTATGACAAATTCAGATCCGGATCCAGGACCACATACATTTTTATTGAAGTAAACTTACCCATTATTTATTTGTATATTTATGTAATAATGTATGTACTATATATTTTCTTCGAAATGATTTTTTTGATAAATTTTATTTATTCTTTTGCTTTGAAATGGTATATTTGATATTTTTTAAGTTGAAAAAGTAATAATTTTGCCCTTTATATAGAATTATGCAATTGTTTTACGTTTAAAGGGGCTGGACTTGATTAGTGTTTACACAATTTTTTAGCTCCTTCCTATGTTGGTTTATGTATTTATTTGAATTTTATATTACTTATACTTATTTGAAAATAAAGTTGAAGTAGAAGAATTACAAAATATAATGAAAAAACATTTTCAAACGAGAAGCCAAGAGGCAGAGAAAAATACTCCATTATCATCTGACTTAGGCCTAGTCCTTAATAATAGATAACAGACTGAGTCATCTTCCAGGGACCGGTATATAAAATTCGTTTTCAATTCTCGATGTTTGACAAGATTTGCCATACTTTTTTAAAATTTTGCAAGGTGACTTATTCTAACTTTTAATAGTGGAATTAAAAATGTTGAATAAGCTATTAATTTAAATTATTGAATGATCAATTTATTGATTGGATTTGATTCATCGGCATAGCCCACACTGAGTTTCAACTAGCTATCAAAGAAGTCCTACACATAAAATTGGAGAATTCGGTGGTAGGGGTGGCGAAAATGGGGCCGATGAAGATAATACAACCGTAGGGGATCCGGGGGCATGTCCCCACTAAATTGCTGTGTTCTAGTTCTCCGAAATAAAGAGGCTTTTGGGGCAATCTTTTTTCTTCTTTTACTTTCTGTCTTCTTTTTTCTTTTTCTTTTTTATACCTTCAGAAGAAGGGAGGGCCGGGAGTGGACGGGGCCGGGCCCTTGCACTTACATCCGCCCTGACATACGTTGAGAGCAGCGTTTTCTGTTTATTTCTTCCTTTTTTGTTGAATTGATAATGGTTAATGTTTTAACCGAAACATGTCTTCAAAATTAAAAGTTACTGCTATAGTTATACGCTGTCTGGCATTGTTTATTTGGGATCGTCGTTTTGGCAATCTGAATTTTGATTTTCAAAGAGGAGGACTCTCCTTGTCGGAAAAACATCAGGAAGATGTAAAAAGACAAAAAATGAGAGGTTCAACAGTAGCTTTGATTAGACATATTTATTACTATTTAGTTTCGTGCTACACATACATGGTGCAGCACTCTTCAGATAAAATAGTCTATATATATAACATATATATATATATACATATATAAATTATATATATATAATTTACATTAATGAATATATTCTGGAATGAAACACATATGCAAAATTAATTTTAGAGGAATGCATCACAAACTATAAGTAATATTAAGCTTTGGAAATATACAAATACATGCAAAATACAATCGCAATTTAAAACAAAACACCAAATCAATCAATTCGATATCTCAGTAGAAATGCTAAACTTCACAATTCACTGGATGTAAGCCTAACTCCGGTCACCTAGAACTACATTGTACGCGCTTTGGATTACGAAAAGATTGCACTTAACTCTTGCGAGTTGAAAACTGACTATGCTACTATCACAAAACTTATAAAAATTAATATAATTTTTGATATTTTGAATTTTCCAGGCTTATACGGCGTACAATGTTGAGCCAGGAGCAGATAACAAGTATGAAGATCTACAGTGGAATTATGACAACCCAGTTGTCTATGTAAACGTCAAGTGAAAAACTTCGTTTGAATAATAATTTCAATGTGATGTTGCTCTGAAATCGAGAAAATAGTTACAACGTATGGTGTTGCTGATTAATTATACAATGATATTTAATTTTATTTTGCAATTTTCCTTGAATTTTTAAATACATATTTTGTACAGAATCATAGAATAACACATCGTAACACATGTAATCAATTATTATCATAATACAGTAATGTTATTAATTTTTGGTCATAATTGTCTATTGTAGTCATGTATTAATATTTAACATAAGATTCAAAATAAAATTAATCAAATGCTGTATGTGTTTTTGTAATAAGCTTTCATTTTCCTTTCTACACTTATTATAGATAAATATTATTTTTGAGATTAAATTAAAAAAATGAGAAACATGTCGTCAATGATAATCATCGTATGAGTAAATTATGTAGGCTTTAATGGGTAATAAAGTACAAAATGACAATAATCAACAATGTGATACCATACTAATTCCTCCACGGTGATCCTGTGACGTAAACCACTGCTTCGGAGGGAATATTATAATTATCTTGCCAAAAGAAGCAATTAACATATTATTTTGTACATAATGGTCCTACTCTAGGTCAACTTCATGAGAACTAAGCATTAACACGTTGTCTGCCAGCGACGAGTATACTCGCTCACAGTGTGTTGCTAGGCCGCCAGGGACGAGTATACTCGTCAAAATCGGGGTATCTTTCTAGCCTTTATAACTTCTTTGTTAAACATTGTAGAACCTCAGACTCAACGGCTGGTAGTTCGGGGAAGATACACCTAGACGATAACGTACATAAGACGTATGTATGTTTGTTGTGTTATGTTGCCGGTAGTACACTCGAGCGGCACAAGTGGGGGCGTCCTTTGAACATATACCAACCCATGCAAAAAGCGGACGAGATAACTCGCACTTGGCATAGTCAATAAAATGTTCTATCAGTGCCGTCGACGAGTATACTCGCCCCCTAATATTTTCCCGCCAATTTATTAGACACATCATTTTGATGACGTATGACTAGATAAAATTTCAAAAAAGTATATTTGTACACGTAAACTTGTTTTGGCATACGGGAAGGAACCTTAAAAAAAAGGTCTGACTGGCCTGGAAGTCAACGTGTTAAAATATATCATTAGTTATTATTATACAGTACTTAAATATTCATTTAGGCCTATAGGCCCTATGGAAGGTATTAAACGCGTATACGTAGAGATACCCAACGAAAAACAGCAATCATGAAATTTATCTGTTTCTTTGCAATACCAGTTCGGTTAATCACATAGGCCTTATAAAATAAAAATCATTAAAGCCTAGTTTCGATAGAATCACTACACAGTCGCTACAGCATTTCACTGCAATCCTTGCTCTGCGTATCTGTCACGAGAGAACGCTCCCTGATTCAACTGACCAACCAGCGTCTCCAAATGAGTCGGCGTTAGCGTGTAGCGATTTTGGAAACCATGCTTTATTACCTGTGATGCTTCGATCACTTTTAACTTTGAAGTTACGAGTTTAATTATGACGCCATTGCACCTTTAAAAAATATGAATTTAGTTGCAAGAGGAGTTGGTATAGGCATAAAGTACCATACATTAATGAAATTAAGCATCCGTTATGATGGTATAATAATATTGTCTTTACAATCAATTATTCGATCACTTTTAACAATAGTCTTTTCTTTCATCAACGTTTTAGCAATGTTCTCGTAAAATTTAACCTATTTTTTACTCGTTTACTAATAAAACAACTCAAATCACACAAGAATAACATGCTTGAAGATACCAAATTGTCCAATTTAATACCAAATATTTGTACCAGTGAGTTTGTCCTAAAATCGCACTCCATGCTGTCCATAATAAATTTAGCAATTTTCAGACCAAACTTTCTAGAAATAAGAGCAAACACCACATGGATTTAGGCTAATAGGTGGGGGAGGGGGAATTATAGATGGATGAATTACGTGCGACAATCTTGGTAACTGGTCGGATCAATTGTGTTTCGATATCCTGGAAGATAGTTACTGACATGTAGTGAAGGTTTATTAACCGGTAAAACGGCAAGTATAAAAGTGTTTATTTAATTCCAGCCAAAAGTATACTAGAATTCCATACAAAAAACACTAAATCAGGAACTAAAATATTATTGGTTCTAGCAATTTTTTTAAGGAAAACATTCCTAAGCTATGACATAGTATAGAGTGATATGTCTTAACTTATAAAGTTAAAAAAAAAATTAATACTTAGACACTATATTATAAAGTTACTAGTTATTTGCTATTATGATCACTGAGACTTTCAGTTTCTGTGTAACTGTCGAAATACTTCACAGATCAACAACTTGAAGTATGGAGGGATGCTGTATTCATCAGTAGGCCTTATCTAAAGCACCGAAAGCAGAAGTCCTATTTACATTGGGCTTTCAAAATTTATGAAAAAAAAATATTGAACCTCGTCGCCATGACAGCCAATGCAATATATATTTTTTTGTTTGTATCGGTCGTGCTATAACAGGAAAAGAGTTAAGAGGGCGTTAAACTCATTTTGCGCCAGAACATTTTTATTTCAGGCTATCAACTGTAAAACTATGCAGCAATGAGGTAAACGTATTGGTCTGCTGATAGTGTAGGCGCGCATTGTTTCATTAATTATGACTCTGTATTACACTGAAGCAAAACATTGTGGGCACCATTGGAAAATTTACTTGGTCTGCCTGATCAACTTGTTTTTACACTTTGGTAAATATAATTTTTGTGTTTCTGTTAGTTCCCTGCAGACGGGCTAAGTAAAAATACGGGTCAGTATATTCTGTCTATGTTGAGTTTTAAAATATAATTTAGTAGGCCTATTTATGCTTACAATTTCAATTTTAGAAACATACAGAAGTCAATCTGGTGCTTCAATTTCTTACAGTATACTTAAAACTTCATTAAATAACATACAAAATGAGAGAGTTTAAAAGACTTGGAGCAATTGACATTGCGATAAAAAACAATCTGAGATGACAAGATGACGTAATGAATTAATGGCACTTTCTGCTAAGCCCCGCCCCTTGCATATTGTTGCTAAGGTTCCACAAAACCATAGCGTAAATGTACGTAAGCGCACGCGCGTTTTGGGACAACACATTAGCTTGGTTCACATCGGTTATTGTCGACATAAGTAGACAAACTATTGAACAGCGCTACACTCCTAATTGCGTTCGATGGTCCGATTATGTCGAGATACCTTGCTGGACCAACTACGCTCACGAGAGCGGCGGTTGTGATCCC